CGGTCATGGACCAAGGGCCAATGGGCCACAAGCCGCCATGCCTGATGGTGGCGGGAATGCCACAGATGATGGAGCTCCACGGCATCTCTGGTGATGGACTGGGTCAACCCACAGCTACGTCGCTGGATGCACGATTGGCGCAGTCGAAGGAATGGTCGGCTTGGGCCCCGGGGCTTGTGGCGGCGATCAAAGAGTGCCTCAAGGAGTACCTTGCTCGGTACTGCTCCCACATCGATGGCGAGGACGAGGTGCAGAGGAAGAATCAGCAGACGCTGAAGTGTCTTGATATGGAGGGCTGGAAGGCCCATGTGATGAAACATCAGCCATATAGGCGGGACTGCCGTAGATGCATGGAACTGACGGGGGGTGGATGCGCCGCATCGACGAACCAGTGGTGACAAGGCCGCTCACTGCCTGTCCTATGACATCCTTGGCCCTGCCTGTCGGGGAAGACGTAGGGATGGGGACCAAGTCCAAGTACATCATGGTAGCTACGGTGGCCATTCCGAAGCTGCCGCGTGATTCCGGGCGAGCTGAGGAAGACCCGGATGACCAAGAGGAGAAGGAGGACTCAGGAGTGCGTGATGAAATACTTCCCCAACTTGAAGAACCCCGTGAAGGCCAGTTCCAAGTCGAGGAGGAGGTAGCAGTTGCACTCAATGAGCAGTGGAAGAAGCACATTCAGGACTTGGCAGAGCTGGTTGGAGTGCAGAACATCACACTGGTGGAGCCGCTTGAATCCAGAGGTCAACAAGATGTCACAAGAGTGGCGACGAGGATCTTCTGCCGATTCAAAAGCATGGGACTTCAGATCAACAGAGTCCACACGGACCGGGAGTGTGCTTTCATCTCCCGTGTGTTCCAAGCTTTCTGTCGCCGCTTTGGCCTTCATCAAACCATGACAGGAGGTGACGAAGGACCTTCAAATGGCAGAATCGAGAGCGAGGTCCAGCAGGTCAAACGTCGCTTGAGAATGCTGGTCCGTGAGAGTGGTTTGGGAGAGGAGTGCTGGCCTGGCATTGCTCGCTATGTGGGTGAGGAACGGCTCCGACGCCAATGTCAGTGTGAAGTTGGGCGTATCTTGCACACCGCTGCTGCCGATTGGGGCGAGGGTCACCGTGAAAACCAAGCGCTGGCATCGAGCGGGTTTTGGGCCAATGATTCCACCCTTTTGATCAATGACGATCATGGGACCTTCACCCTTCATATCGGAAGGCTATGTGCTGCGTGATGGAGACCAGGTGCAACATGCACGAGTGGTGGTCTTGACGGATCCCACAGCCGAGAAGGCAATGCTGGAGCTTCAAGAAGTACCTGATCCTGATCGTCCACTTCGCAGGATCACAGGCAAACAGCCCTTGGAACCAGGTGTTCCGCAGATTCCACCACCGAGGATTCTTGATGACCAACTACCTCTTGGACTCCAGGCACTACACTGGGATTCTACCTTGGGGGGAGAGTCAACCATGAGGATTGTCCAGCCCACCACTCAGTCTGGGCTGGGGGGGGAGTCCCTACTCTTGAAAAACATTGAAGGTGCAGCTCTTTGCCCCCTACCTCGTCAGGATCCGGACACTTGTCGGCAATATGGACTTCAACTGGCACCCTCAGCGTCACAGTGCAAATCCGAGGTCGTTGAGGAGTGTGGATTTTGCGGGACCCCGGTTCACCAACAGCCGAACGTGGTGATGAAGGGCCTCATTGAGTGTGACTGGCATGAAGGCCAGAGACTTCGGCAGCGACTTGATGAAGACCACTGACAGTGGAGCTGGAAGCGTTTGTGGTCTGATTTATCGAGGGACGCTCCAGTAGGTGAGGACGAGGGAACCACGTTGGGTCACATCCTGGACTATGTGGAGACGATGGTCGTGAACTGGGAGGAGAACTTGATCGACCTGAAGAGAAACGATGAGGTGATGAGGAGTACCAGATTGCAGCGATGACCAGCGCACTCATGGACGCCGCTGCTGGTGATGGAGTGCATCCGGTCCTGCAGACCTATACAGTTCCGCTCGCTCAGGTACGACGCGATCTTCAACTCCGTCCTTGAAGAATGAGGTGACATCGCTGGAGACATCCACCAGGGCAGTGCGTCCCGTGAAGATGAAGGACCTGGTGCATGAGGATGGGTATGGTGAGATGCTTGTGGTCCCCTCCAAGGTGGTGCCATCTGTGAAGGCGCCGGATGGAAGCAAAAAGGCCCGAATAAGTTCTCTGGCTTTTGTTTGCTGCGGCGTTGTGCTGCTTCTGTGGGCGCATATATGCGGTATGCCGATATGTGCCGCGCGAAGTGTTGTGAGATGCCCGCGTGGAACACCGAAAAGGTTCTCATATTCGAGGCCGTTCAAAAATGTTCGGGCCCCGACAACTCTGTTTTGGAGATTCGCCTTGGAGACGCTGTAGCCACCCCATGCGCGATGCCATGAATCGCTCGCTCGTCCAGGGCAAAAGCGATCGCAAAGAATCAAAAAGCGCCGCTCAACTGACGATCATATAAAAAATTGTTTGGCTTGCTCGAATGGAGCTGGTGGTTGTTGAAAGAGGGATTGCAAAGGGCACAGTCTCACTTGCGCACGCAAAGTCACCCCACTTCTTTAATGATGAAGGGCCACGTTCAGAACCTCACTTGCACACGCAAAATCATTAACCACTCACTTGCGCATGCAGGCATGTTGCTGCATTGGGGTGGCACCTTCCTCATCTAAACCTTACCTCGAGTGGAATGGCTCGCATGGCTCACAAAAGTCTGCTACCTTGGAATTGCACCGTCCTCCCTTAATTTTACCTCCAATTGGCTCACTATTATCGTCGGGTTGCTCACAAAAGGTCTGTGCCGTTGGAATGGCACCTTCCTCCTCTAAACTTTAACCTCGGGTGTCTCACAAAGTTCCAGAGCAGGTTCGTCACGCCTGCATTTGAAAGCTCAAAAAAACCTCTCAGCCTTCCAACTTGCACGCGTGCAAGCGAGGCGAGGCCATTTCTGCGTGCACAAGCCAGTGCCATGCTGTAGCAAAGCATAGCAAAAGGAGCTACTAGGTTGGTGGCCCTTATGAAGCTACGCGCATCCTACCTTCTGGACCCTAGAAATATCTGTACCTATTGAAGGGAGAAAGCTTCGCATCAAACAAATCATTTACAAACACAGTATTTAAATCCATGGGAAAGTGCCTGGACAAAGGTGCAGGGGACATTGGCTAAAATGGTAGGGGCCAACACGCAAGCAGGTGGACAGCAGCAAAGGCCGGAACCGGGGCATTAATCTTCATCGCCCCACCATTGTTTGATGCTCTGCTGTGTTTGGACCTGACCTGGCAAAAAGAAACATTATACACCCAGCCATGGACCACCTCAGAGCCCCACCACCTCAAAATAGTTAAAAAAAAATATTCAGGGGTGGGTAGACCCCAACTTCAGAATATTATTCCTGAACGTGTGAAGTGGGGTCAAATAATTTACGACCATCAGCAGTGAAGAGGTGGTCTAGGGATATCTTGGGAAGATTCGGGATGGCTGGACAGTTCTTGACAGCAAATGTTTTCTCACTGTTAAGATCTGGTTTCTTCTGTGCTCTCAATGGCCGCAACCCAAACGCAGCCAGAGGGCACCCCCCCAGTGCCACTAAAAATCCTGAAACTACATGAGATGGAATGACAGGCAGGAAATTGACTGTCAAACTACAAAGTGTTGAGCAAATTGATGGTGGTTGCCCTGGTTCTCAATGATAACAATGCGCCTAAAAGCCCTAAAATGTCAGAGAAAAATATTTGGGAGGTGGGTGAGTAGTGAAGGAACAGCAAAAATGACATGAAATGTACCCTGGAAACCCGTGCATGTTCAACCAGAAAAAAGAAGAATTAAATGAAATTGACCACCAAACTATTTAAACAGATTTCGTTCAATTTTAATAGTCATTCACTACTCACCCACCCCCAAGATACTTATTTTGGTGGTGGGTGAATAGTAAATAGCACCTAGAAGCACAGGCAAGGGCAGAAAACTTCCTGGATAATCCCTAAATGCCCTAAATGTTGCACCACAGTTCCTTTAAAATCCTGAAACTACATGAGATGGAATGACAGGCAGGAAATTGAGTACTGCATCCACTCGCGATGTTGGAAATTATTTTGGGTGGTTTGAGTAAAAGCCCATAATTGTTTCGCGACCACCCCATACCCACCCAGCTAAAATAACTATTTGATTGAATTGTTTGGCCAACATTATTTGGCAGAGTGACTCCACCTCTCAAATAATTTCACAAGGTTGGGAGTATGAAACATGTGCAGCTAAAATGGCAGAGGCCAAGATTCCAAGCAAAACCAAAAACTGAGGACATACCTTGAAGAAGGGGCCGAGACCTGGTGGGCATCCCTGGAGTCATCGCAATAACTGAAGTGACAGTTGCTGTATGGTTTACAAGGGTAAAGCCACAATCTTTAAACAGCTTGAAAAATACCTTTACAGTATATTAACGAACACCATGTTTTCCTGTAGGTTTGGTTAAAGCCAGCCCTGGGATTCTTTAGCTAGAAATCATCCCTAAATCAGTTGGTGGGGCCCAACGTAACATCAGGCTCCAGAAGACCTATCATCACCCCATGCATACCCCATGCTTTCTTCACAGGAATCACTCTGGCATCTCTGGCCAAAATCCTTCAAACCCAAACCCATTTGCATCACTATCAATTTTAGCCACCACATTTTGAAAAATCAGGCCGGCCCCCAGAGGTTTTATCCTTCAAGATCAAACGGCTGTGGAAAGCTTGCCACGTGCAGAAGCGTCATACTCTGACACTGCGACAGCAGACCAAAACATACCACATGCGGCAAAACCTACCAAAAAGTCAGAATCTGCAACCCCCCCAAAAAAGAGGCCACCAACGAAAACCCACAACAAAGCAACAAAAAGGCAAACCCACAAACAAAGAATCCACTAAAAATTGCAGCATGCCGTTGTAGAATAATTTGCCACCAAACTCGCTCACAAATATTGAGGCAAATACCAAAGCTGCAAGATGCCCTGTGCTGACACTGGCAGATACAGGCCTCAGCTCTGCCAACAATCAGGGTATGTCGACATGAAAAATTGGCGCGCACAATCACGCATGACCATGGCCAACTCTGAACGCCCACCGCTGCCCACCCATGGTTGAATTCAGTCTGGGCTCAGCACTCAAAAGCGCGCACCTGCGCTGGTAGATCACGTTGATCTACAGTATCTACAATTCTGCACGTGACAAATTCAGATTGAACCGCCTTGGCAGCAGACTGGGTGCTCCACAAAGCACCAGTGCCTCCTCGGCCTTGTAAATCAAGTGAAGGAATGCGAGCGTCACCCGGTTTTCCAATGCCATTTGCCTGCTGCTGCGAACCAAAGCCCGTCCAGTGAAAATGCAACGGCCTGATTGTCTGCATGCTCACTTTCAGCATCCCAATAATCGGGAACCCATTCGTCTGCCGGCTCCGATCAATTGAGAGTTGAACCACGATGGCGACATTCTTTCCCAAGGCTTCCTCCTGCATCACTTGGCAAATTTTTCCAACATGTTTTTCTCAAACGCAGTGCCTGAACTGATGGCCAGTGGTATTGCACAGACCGATGGGCCAGCATTGAATCTCAGCACGCGCTGTGCAAGGCAGATTAGATTAGGGCAACATGCCAACAACGTGGTTCGGGAGCTGCAGCAACAGGATAAACCATCCATCGCGATCGTGGTCATGGGAAACGCCGACAAAAGCAAACCAGAACACATGTGGAAAAAAATCTGCGCGCTGTTCAACTGATTTGGTGCCAGTCGAAAAAATGTGCACTTACATAACATGAACGGAGGTGTTAACTGTTAGGCCCTGTTAGGCTCATAAACGTAGTGACCATGTGTCACAGTACCCAAAGGATATGCCCACGCGCAGGCACACTTTTCTTTCAATCCCTGGCTCAAGAAAGACTAAGCTAAACGCAAACGACTGCAGTGAAACATAACCATGCCTACACATTTACCATGATACATGATCGCCACAAATTTGAGAGGGGAGGACCCTACATGTGATTTACATGTTCCTTGGTGTTGACGGTAAAAATATAACAATCCGTTTTAAGGCATCAAACATGTAATATTACATGTTCAACCCCCAGCTGACATTTTGTCCATTGACAGTTCACAGGAAATATGACACCTGTACCACGCTCAAGCAATTTCAGCTAAGTTCAATTTTCTTGTTTTTGAGCCCATCATATACTGAAAACGTTACATTAATTGTTGACGGCTCTTTCCCTTTAGAGGAGTCGTTGCATTTCCTTCATGTTGCCTTGATTTCCTTTACGTTCCTCTCGTGTGCTTTTCATTTTGCATGTATTCCTTGCATGTTCCTTTCATGGTGTTTTCAGTTTTCATGTCCTGTTATATTCTTCATGTTGTATTTATGTCCTTTCATGCTCCTTTCATGTTGCATTCATGTCCTGTAATTGCCCTTTTGTTTTGCATTCATATCCAACCATGTTCCTTTAATTTTGCCGTCATGTCCCTTCCATTTTGCTATCATTGCCTGTCATGTTCCTTTCACATTGAATTCACTTCCTTTCATGTCCCTTTCATTTTGCATTGGTGTCCTGTCATGTTCCTTTCATTGTACATCTATTTCCTGTCAGTTTCCTTTCATTTCGCACGCGTTTCCCATCATTTTCCTTTAAACTTGCATTCATTGCCTGTCATGTTCCTTTCATGTTGCATTCATGTCCTTTCATTCTCCTTTCATGTTGCATTCATTTCTTCTCATGCAAAAAACAAGAGGTGGTATGCTCAAACTGGTCTTGCGGGTACCCTCCCAAGCGGTCGCAATTATGTACTGAAAATGTAACGTTAACTGCTTCCCTTTAGACATTTCCTGTCATTTTGCATGAACTTCCTTGCACTTTCCGTGCACGTTTCATTCATTCCTTTCATCTTTTTTTGATTTCCTCATATGTAAAAATTGAACACGTAACATTAAATTCTGAAATGTTTTTCCCTAAAAAATTTTTCCCACCATTTTGCATGGATTTCCTTTATGTTCCTTTCATGTTCCTTTCATTTTGCATGTATTCCGTTCATGTTCCTTTCACGGTCTATTCATGTCCTTTCATGTTCCTTTCATTTTTCCTTGATGCCCCTTCATGTTCCTTTCATTGTGCATTTATGTCCTTTCTGTTTCCTTTCGTTTCGCACTCATTTCCGATTATTGTCCTTTATTTTGCTATCACGTCCTTTCATGTTGTCATGTTCCTTTCATGCTGCATTAGTTTTCTCTCATGTGAAAACATTAAAAAATGTAACATTAAACTACGCTGAATGCTTTTTCCCTCTCGACATGTCCTGTCATTTTGCAAAGTCCTGACGCACAAACAAACACACAAAATGATGCCTCGCCACTAGCAAAAAATCAACCTTAAATTTATGTAACTTCCCATTGGGCCACACCCCCAAACCCTCAGATTTTCCCAGGAACGCCTAGGTTATGTGAGAAACGCTGACCTCACAAATTGTAATTTACATTTTGGCCTCATCCCAAAACCTTTAGAATGTACAAGGAGCCCCTGAACAAATGACATGTTAATTAGTATGAAAGGAAAATGGCAAGAACAAAATGCAAAATGAAAGGAAATCAATGCAACATGAAGGCAAGGGAAGCGCGGTGGCCACCGTCATCGTACGTGTGTTTTGGACGTGATTTGGAGCGTTCTCTGGGATTTGCCCTTCATTTCGCATTCGTGTCCTTTCATTGTCCTTTCATTTTGCATTTTTTTCTTGCCCTTTTCCTTTCATATTAAAATGATTTAAAATGTAATCTATTCTGAAGGGCGCCCCAGTTCCTTTTAAATTCGGAGGGTTTTGGGACGTGGCCAAAATGCACAGCAAGTTACCATTTGTGAGGTCAGCGTTTCTCACATAACCTAGGTGTTCCTAAAAAAATCTGAGGGTCTGGGGGTGTGGCCCGATTGGAAATTACATTCTTTGAGGTTGATTGATTCTTTGCTTGGTGGCGAGGCGTCATTTTGAGTGTCTGTTTGTGTATGTCTGTGCGTCACGACTTTGCAAATGACAGGAAATGTCGAGAAGGACAAAGCACTCAGCACTTAATGTTACACGTTCACTAAATAATTGCGGGCACGTGGGAGGGTACCCACATGACCGATTTGGGCATACCACCTTCTGAAGAGTTTATACAACAGGAAAGGAATGCAAAATGAACGGGAGATGAAAAGAAATGAATGCAACATGCAAGGAACATGAAAGGACACGCTCAAACTGGTCATGCAGGTACCCCCCCCATGCGGACACTCAATGTGACAAGGTTCGGTTGGACAAGGATAGCAACGCAACACAACGATAGGAAAAACCGAAGCTAAACAAAGCGTCAAGGTTTCCAAGTTACATTTGTTGACCTCCCTCCTTAACCGGAACGGTTTTCCAAAAATGTAACTTAGAACGTCCCCACTTATCAAGTTATATTTTCTTGGACCCCCCCACCTACAGGCATGCTTCCGAAAAACGTCACAAAATGTAAGTTAAATTTGCTTGGGCGGGGGGGGTTGCCAAAAATGTAACTTACATTTTGCCCCCCCGTTTTCATGGTAACAGGGGTGGCAATGATACATGTAAATGGCGCTGCAAGTGGTCACCCGTCCCGAGTTTAACATCTCCTAGAAGTTAAGCGAGTCAGGATTAGCGCAAAGAGCGAGTTGGCTAGTAGCCCTTCAGTACATCTTCGAGAACAAGAAGTACCTTATTCTGGCTCAAGTCAGGGTCAGCTCGCGCTCACCTGCCAACAAGTACAGGCTCACGCCTTTCATGGCACTGTTCATTTTCTTTTCGGCGACTGGTTTCGTGAGTACTTTGGTTAACATTCGGTCGGCGCTCTGTATTGAAGGAAGCCTGTTTCTTCGCCGCGCGCCCTTGGCCCAAGAGGTATTGGGTATCCACATGCTTAGCGCATCGCCGCGTCCCAGACTGATTCCAGCGGAAGCGTCCATTGTCACTTCTTTGTTGCAATCGACGCAACACCACCCAAGTCTATAGCCGATATCCCGTGCTTGGGGTGCATATTGGTGGAGGATATTATCCTGTGGCTTGGGGCGCGATATATCGGTGGGGGATGTCGGCGCGCCGCCGATATGCCGATATCCTGTGGCTGGCGATGGGGTGGTATGCGGGTGGGGGATATCACTGCGCCGCCGAAGCGCGATGGGCCTGGGGTGGGGTATTGGCGCGCTGCCGATAAGGCGTCGATCTTGCATATTGGATTGGAAGAACATTCAAATTTATAGACTGTGGACTGGTGAGTCGCCAGGACATTTCACATCATAGCTTGATTCTAAGTGCACGAAGTGTCCTTGCCTGTCCTTCCAAAGTTTGAACTTTGAACTGTCATTCAATCTCGCCTTTCGGCACTTCCGCGCATTTCTCGATGATCAATGACCTGCGAACCCGTTCTGAATTTCTCTCAACGAGCGGCGTGAGGGGCTGGTTCGGGATCGTGTCGGACTACATACCACCTTGGTATCATTGAACAGCACTGGGACCTTGGACTTACAGGAAAGCACACGTGCAAAATGACGCTTCATCTATCTGTCTCGGACGACAGAAATTAGTTCATGATGTTTCTCATCCGTGACTAATACAGTACATATGTCATCAGACCGTGAATTCATGAATCAGCAATCGGCGTGATACGCGGGGTTGCTTTAGCTGCACTTTTCCCCTTGCGCACATGCCTTGCAGCCTTGCACCAAGCTCCGAATTCCCTTCCCTTGGCGCCAGACTGAAGCGGTTCACCCTTGCCCTCGATTCCTCTGGCAAGCCCAGTCTGAGTGGCTGGCCTTGTATCAATGCGCGCGCTCCTCCTTGGTCTGGCCTTTCTTCACAGGGCGGCATCTTTGCAACGCCTTTGTTTTGGCGCCGTTGGGCCAGTTTCATCTTCTTTGTCTTGCGTGGCAATCATCTCTTGCATCTGCGAGCCAGGGTAATACGCAGGGTCCCCTTTTTAAGTTTCCCAACTGGGGTCTTTCATCTTTATGAATTCTGGAGCGGCCTTTGGATCAATCTCCATGTCGGCAGCTGCATGGGCTGGCGCTGCCTTCGATGTTGGGCTTCTGTCTGGCAGCTTTCAACCTTTTGGCGTTGGCGCCATTCACGTGCCCACTGATGCAGCACGTGGGGTGGGCAGCACTTCGTTGCCGTACAATGTTTCGGTAGCCGAAGCCTTGTCCACTTTCAGCGCTTTGTTGCAAGCCACGCACATCACGTACTTGCGATGATTGGCATCTGTGGGCACACGTGGCAACCCACTCCTCACGACAACATGCGGGCAGTGTGATCCAGCCAAAGGTCATCCTGAAACTCTTCACCATCAAGTTGCTCAAGGATTTCAATTTCAGCGGGGGTCAATGGTCTTCATTGACTGGCTTCGAAAAGGATGGCGCAAACGTGGCTCCCTCAGTCACGGCGAGAATACCTTTGATCACAGCGTGGCATACTCCGAGGGCCGTACCGTTCCGTCATGAGCGCATACTCGATGACACCGAGCTGGGCGTGAGACCACCAATTCTTGAGTGGTGAGCTGAGCTCCTCTTTGTCTTCTGAGCTCTTCTTCTTTTTCTTCTTCTTCTTCTTGCAGCTCTTCCTTCACCTTCTTTGGCTGCTTGGCTTGGTTGGTTCGTTGAACTTCTCTTCATAACCTTCATCGTCCCGAGCCCTTTGCGCGGGCTATCTTTTAGTAATCCAACTCCTCTGGGTAGTTCTCTTCAAAGCCCTTCCATCAAAATTGCCTTCGAAGGTCTGCAAGTCTTCTCAGCGCGTTGGCGGCCTTCCTCCTTCTTCCTTGCAGCTCTGGGGTCCATCCCAGCTGCCAAGTGCGCGGTCAAATGCGGCGACACCGCCGGCGCCAAAACAGCCCAGAAGCAGTTTGGCCTCAAGCTCTTTTTCAGCGCGCTGATCTTGGAGTTCTGTTTCTTTTTTATGTTGGCGCTCCAAGATGGCCTTGCTCACTGCCTGCTATGCCCTGTTCTTCTGCTTCCTTTATGGCAGTCTGCAGTCTTGATTTGCTGAGCCCTTCATCCCAACCGCTCTTTTTTCAATCGCATCGTCTTTTGGATCGCTTGGTTCCACACGGCGACCCTGCAACTGCAACCCAGGACGGCACTGCCTGAGGGCTTAGGCGCGGCCTTCACTTTTGCCCTGGCCTTTGCTTGAGCATCGGCAGCAGACGTCTTCTCTATGTCAGTGTCAATGATGATGGCGGCAGCGTTGGCTGAGGACTCGGTTTCAGGCTCTTGCTCTTGAGCCCCAAGATTGGTGGATTCCTCAACTGCTGCAACTTTCTTGTTCTTGCCTTTGCATTTACCTTTAGCATCCTTACCTTACCCTTGCTGCCTTTAACTTTGGCCTTGGCGTTCTGCTTGCCCAGCCCCAATTGTTCCTATACCAGTCACTTTTGTTCCAATCATGAGTTGTACCATGAAGTGATGTGTTCCATGTTTTTTGATCGAACCTTTTGATTCTGTTTGCCTTTATCGTGTCCCTTGCCTCCATCTTGGCTCTTTTCTTTACCTTTGCTTAGCTTCCTTTTGGGCTGAGCTGCCTTTGCCTTTTCCTTTTGCCTCTGCTAGGCTCGCAGGTGACCCTTGCAGGCTGGCAGCTGTGGCAAGTGCATCAACACCCATTGCTGCTGATCCAACCTTGGCTTCTCTTCTCCTCTCGATGTTCTCGATATTTTCAAAAATCTATGACTTCATGATGTCATAGTCTGTGAGTCTTGAACTTTGGAGGTCAAGGTGATCTTGGAGCTTTTCTGGACACATCTCTGTTGCAAGCAGCTCCTGGCAATGTCATCGTCGAGCTTCTTCTTCTTCTTCTAATCAACTTCTTCTTCTTCTTCTGCTACTTCTTCTTCTTTCGGTCTTCATACTTTCGCCTGATGTTCTCCCAGGCTTCAATGCTTTCTCGAAGCGCCTGTGGGTTGTGGGGGTGGTATTTGGTGGTTAGCCTTCGCAATGCCTCGAGTCCAAAGTGTGGGCCTCTTGGGGTACCCTGCCGGGCCTGAGCTGAACAAGCTCGGCTCCTTCAGGATACAGTAATCATCTTCGATTGATCTCTATGTCTCTGTCTCTTGGTGCTCCTCAATTAGTTGGACGCACCTACCCCCATTTTTCTGACTCATTTCAATCCAAGTCTTGAACTTGAACCACCATGAGTTCCAGGTACCAAGTTGACCTCTAAACTTGTCAGGCTTTGGGGTGCCTTTCAACTCTGATCCGTCTTCCACACTGGTTGCAATGTTTCGTGCGATGGCCGCTTGCTGGGTGTGTGCCTCTGCTATTCCTTGTTGTAGCCGGTTCTGTCCTGGTGCTGCTGGTGGATCATGTGTGCAAATTGCTGCGCAATGTGTGTAGGCTGAGCTGTTGCTCCTTTTTCTGGCGGCTGTGCCATTGTGACGACTGAATCAATCCGGCTTCTCGGCCAGTGGTGTGTATAGTACTGCTCCGGCGCCAGACCTGATGCAGCTCGGCTGCCTTCGACCTGTAAACGGTAGCTGGGTCTCAGAGCCACAGCTCCGCTACCATGAACGGGGATGTTAGGCTCACAACCATAGTGACAGTAATGACCCTGCGTCACAGTACCTAAACATACCTAAACGATATGTTCAAAGCTGAGGCACACTTTTCCTTCAATCCTTCATTCAAGCAAAACTCAGCTAAACACAAACGGCTGCGGTGAAACATCCGACACATCTACCATGACACATGCAACTGGTGCTACATCTGAGGATAAAAATATATGTATATACAATATGACCAATATCATGATCATTCTGGAGTAGATGGAATCGCGAAGTAGTGGAGTTCTTTTACTCTACTTTCTGAGAAAAGGCAACTCCTGGCGTTTGAACATTAACTCCGAAAAAGTAATTCATATTATAGAAAATTGGGACCATGCCCATGTCTGCGGTCAACGCTCCTTTCCCTCTCTCTTTCCTCTTTCGTGTTCCACGTCCTTCTTTTTTCCATTTCTCTCTCTGTCTCTCTCTCCCCTCTCACTCGCTCTCTCTCTCTCTCCCCCTCCACCGCCCACATCCGGATTTCCACCTAGGCCGCCTATATAGTCATATAGTCACATAGTCCTTTTCTGTTCTTTGCTTTTTCCTGTTGCCCTTCTTTCTTCTCTCCCTCCTCCTCCTCCTCATCCTCCTCCTCCTCATGCTCTTCCTCCTCATGCTCCTCCTCCTCATGCTCCTCCTCCTCCTCATGCTCCTTCCCCTCATGCTCCTTCTCCTCTTCCTCCTTCTCCTCTTGTTGTTGTTCTATATCTCTCTCTCTCTCTCTCGTGTATGCTCTTTCTTGTCCTCTTTTTTGAACTGTCCTCCCGGAAGTGGTGGAAAGGCACAGGGCTTGCAGCAACTCCTGAACACGGTCAAAAGATTAAAGGCCTTCTGTGCAACCATTGCCCTCTAGTCGAGCTGTCCTTTTGATCGTCCCTTTTCCGTGCGTGCAATCTGCTCGAATGCAAGCCGCGGATCATCACGATCACCCAGCCTGTTCTTCAAACAGGTGGTCCATACCCAGGTTGTGGCACTGTGTAGTGGCACTCTTCCCTTGCACCTGACCTAACATAAGTGTCCTGTTTTTTGACTGACATTGCGCAAGAGTGCCAAGACCTGTGCGGAAGCATTCAAGCAAAAAGCGTGTGGTCACACGCTGCCAACTGGTAGCAGGCAGTCCGGATGTCGAATTCTTAGCATTTGATGTGGCTGGCATCAGGTCTCTGATGGACACGGCATGTCTACCAAGTGCTTCAAGCCGGTAGCAAACATGCCATGCTGAGTAAGTAATTTGGCCCCTTTCCAAGACTTCTCAAGCCACTGAATCAAATTGCCTGCACTTCTCCTCTTCATTCTGACAGTCTTGGTGATCAGCCTCTACACTCTTGCCTTCCGATTGTGCTGCTTTCGCTTCACTTGGATCTTTGCTGCGTGTTCCTATGGTCGTGTCCAGATTTCCGTTGAACGGCCCCTCAGCCAGCTCGTTGCGGGAGAGAAAGCGGAAAAGCAAGGTGATGAGCACACCGTCAACCAATAGGAACAAGCTGTACAATAACGGAAAGACTGACACTGCCTCGAATCGCCCGGGGTCACTGAAGGAGAAGGCCAGAATTGTTAATGCAAGGGTGCTGTTTTGCAAGCCTGTCTCTAAGCAAATGGTGCGACAGGCTTTGGAGTGGAGTCTTGCAAGACGGGCATTGCCATAACCAAGCGCGCTTCCAATTGGCATCAGCAAAGCCGCCGCTACCCAAAGCCTCCAGTGATCAGTAAATAGATGCGAATTTGAAACAACGCCTGTCACCAAAGCTGCAAGGAGGAAAATTGTGCCAAGAGCAGAAGCTGCTTTCTCTATCCACAGTGCCACTTTGATGCTCATGTGCCGGATTCCCATGCCAATCACAACAGGCAGGATAACCTCAGTGCTGATAATGAATCCGGCTCAACCGTCTTCGTGGGATTTCATGTGGGTGTGATTTGCTTTCACCCCGCTGAGGGCCAAAACAGAAAATATATATATATACCCTGACTAGGACCCAGGAATACGGGCAAATACTGCCATCACTGAAGTTCGAGTATCGTATATTCATTCCCTTCACATCCCTTCAATGCTTGTGGCCCCTGATCTGCATGACAAAAGCACCATGGACCAGCCTTTTCTTCATGCAAGAAAAAAACATTTAGAGACCACGACTTGAATCAACTCTGCGCTGACTATCTCTACTGTAACTATTCCATTGTGGCTTTCGTTGGCTTTTGGACGTGGCATCGCTGAGGTTCACACAAGAGAGAGGGGCGTCACCAAACTTGCTAAAGGGATCGCAACATTATCGTCCGTGAAGGGCGAACTGTAGATGTAGAGGCACAGGGGCATCATCGCCACTGACAGCAAGGTAGAGAGGCTCGTGGCAAGGATTGACAGGGGCAGGTCAGCCCGTGAATAGTATGCAAAGAGGTTGCTTGTTGAACCCCCTGGTGAGCAACCAACCACAAGCATGGAAAGGCCTTGTTCTTTCGTCACACCCAGGCCCAATGCCAAGGCAAAGGAGATCAAAGGCATGAGACCAAATTGGCAAAGAACGGCCACCAGCGGAGCTTTCCACATGCGAAGGGCAAGCTTGAAATCCTTTGGGGACATTGTTGCACCCAGGCCAAGCATCAACACCACAACGATGATACCAAAAATCAGCTGTAAAGGATCCATGGCGTATGGCCGAACGAAACCTCCGCTTGTTCAGCTTCTGAGGCTTAAAGGATTAAGACAAAACTCCGAGTTTACAGGCTTAACTAGCTATTTTCGAAAGCGGTTCCAGCAGTTGTTGCGCCGCCTGACCTGCACAAACCTTGTCAATGAGTGTGACACACTCCTGCGTCTAGAACTTGCGAAAGCAGAAACCAGCCGATCAGATCCTTATGTCAACATACGTGAAGCAGCCACGCCAGCTGGAGGCTTTGCTGTTGAGGCCCAGGCATCATCGCCACCAGTCGCTAGAACTACTCCAGAGCCTTCACAAAATAAATACAAGTTTAAATGAACACTTGATGGTTTGTGCTCGGCACGTGCAAAAATCCGCCAAGGGCTTGCGAGGCAAACAAAATTTATTCAAGTCATAGACAAACGATGTTAGTTGGTCATGGACCGGTTGGGTGTGGGGGAGGATGAGGTGAGGGGCTGAAGCAATGGGGCTGAGCCCAACCCCTGACTAAATTTGACCGGCCAAAACTACTGTGGCGCAAGTCAAGGGCAAAATTGTTCAACTATGGAAACGGAGAGGGAGAGGGAGACCGAGACACAGAGAGAGAGAGAGAGAGAGTGCGCAGCACAAGGTTGAGAGTTGCCACACCTACTCAGGGTCACTTGCAGCATCTACGACATCTGTGCGAGAAACAGTATCCTAAGTCTGGAGGAGGCTTGGAGTAGAGTCAGGCACAACTCAAACCAAGCCTCGCGCCGGCTACCAGCACAGGGTGATGCAGCTCAGGATATGTTGGGAGGCCTCAAGCTTGGAACCAGGACTTAGCCGCACATTTCGCGAGGCTTTCGGCTTTCGCGGAGATTTCCCTCGGATAACATGTGCAAGCATCTGCACAGCCAGTCAGGGTCGTTGCCTCACTGTCAGGGCTGTGCAAGGACAATTGTCAGGTTGCTACAGTAGTCCGTGACAGTCTGCGACAGTGGGGGCTGGAATCGGAGAGCCCTTTACGCACGTTGAGGCTTCGCAGCGGCTGTGCCGGAGGATTGCCTAGTATTTCTACCACTTGCCGGTCGGTAGAAAGGAAAACATACGAAAGAGACCTTCGAGAAATCTTTCGTAAGAAAAACTGATTTTGCGCATCTTTCGCGGATGGTTTGACATCTGAAAGGCTCTTTATACAAAACTCCTTACACGGGGTTTCAGATCAACTCCCATGTATTCCCATGTATTGTCTAGGACCTAGAAATGTGGTTCGGCTCAACATTCATGCCAGAATCCCGCAAGCAAAACATAGCAAGTGGAGATTGGATCCCAAGGGCAAAAGGATACATGCAGTCGGGTAGGACTATAAACATATGGGAAGTCAACAGAAACATCCCCAAATTCAAGGAAACTTGGGCACTTGGAGATCGAAGGACAGATTCATTGAAGCACTTGATATATAGACGGAGATATTCAGAGGCTCCAGGAACAAGAACTCAGGCCTCTAGAGATATTTGTCAGCGTTGATTTGTCAGAGCTGAGCTACGCGTCGAACACAATCAATATTGGCCGTAGCAATTGAATGCCCTGAGATATGTGTGCGGGTACATGAATCAATGGTCTGCCATCGCCGCCTGTGCCCAAAGAGAAGGCCAAGGACAATACCGCTCGGCTGTGCAAAGAAACCTGACTACAAAACTACAAAAAGGTTGCGTGGCAGCATGAGCATCAACGAGGACATGACTGTGGCAAGCGCGTCTGGCCAAAAAGTCCTATTTCAATATCAGAAAGAAGTGAACGCTCACAAGAATAAGATGAATATTGAAGTCCTCGCGTCCCAAACTTTCACTTCAGCATCCAGTGAAGCCGTAGCCACCACTGTCCCATCAGGCCTCAGAAATCGGCGATGATTCAATGCTTCATGAACACTGTCTTATCTGTGCCATGTCTATCAGGCTGTGTTGACATCACTTCTTCTTCTTCTCCATCGCCCTGTTGACATCACTTGCGCTTGGCTTTTTCTCCGCTTCATTGCTGTTTCTATCTTGGCCCTCCCCAGAAGGGAGCTCATAGCATGAATCCAAGCGGATTTCAAAAGCCGCACTCAAACGAGAGGCGCCTCGTTTTAGCTTCACCCTGTGCAGGCAGGGTTGGCAAGATTTGGAAGCCGCCTGTGCCCATTGTGCACCTGCAAGTGCTACGCCAGCAGTTCTGGAAAATACAGGCACCCAATTCTTGTCGAATTGTGCTTCGAGGCCCGCGTCATCTGCAACGACGAACGTAAGCAAACCAGGGTCAACATGTGCAGGGCAGCCAGTCCAATCTTCCGATAGTTCAGGATAGTAGAACACATCCAGCACCTGAGTTGCTATTTTTCAGAAAGCCCGCATCATCACAAGCACAAAACGTGCCAACAAGGTGCTTGCCAGCAAGTGTCATCAATCTTCAAGTGCTGCCTTGGGTAAAGAGAGGCCATGTTCTGGGGAAAGTGTGATGTAAACACAGGCGACTTGGGCAACACTGCGGCTCAGTGTCGGTAGCTGATTCCAAGCCATTGGCCCCAGTACTGCCCATAATCTTTCCAATGACCGAATTCCCTGCGCAAACAATGCATCAAGGTCATCAAGGGAAGGATCCAAGGAAGAGTGCTGCAGTCACCGAGTGTCAATGCCGCGTCTGACACTGGCAAACCCTGGTTTAGTGCAAGTTGCCCCTTGTAACTGTGCAGTGTGCGCAGGTTCATGTAGAAAAATTGTGTTGGCAAAACGAAAGGCACATCGGCTGGCAAGGGTCCTCCAACTCAGCCAATGGAAGCCTTGGTCCTGCACGTTTCCCCAGGTCTCAATGGTATAGCGAACAAAACTTGAACTCAAACTATGGTGACGAAAGCTGCTACCAAAAATACGAGTTTCATCTCAATTCATCTTGGCACCCCCTGCTCAAAAAGCAGCACCACTGCCCTCTATTTATATGAAGCAATTCTCCGGCAAAGCCGGTGTGAAAGCTGCAAAACTGATTTAGTCAACTATAGACTATCAATAATCTATAAACTATAGAGCTTTTCTTTGTGTGATGAGGTTATGTCGTGATGTGATGGAAAGTGGTGCAGGTTGATGATCTATGCGTGATGCAGTTCATCACTGGGGACCTTGATCGAAACCAAACAATCTTAATTGGGGATTTGACCTGCCAAAGGTTACACGCACCCAAGATCACCCAAGTACTTGTGACTTCGAACACCGTTTGTTGATGGAACTGGAGCTGCCAAACGGAATTGTTAAAACCAGCTTCAGTGCAGGCTTCCAACGGACAATATTTCCTCCCAGTTGCACCTGTCTTCTCCATTTTTCTCCTATATTGATCGAGTTTCTCATTTCCCAATCGATCTTTCATTTCTTGCTCGAGCCTCTCGCCTCCCCTTCACCCTTCAAACCTTGCAAACCCTTCCCCCTTGCCTTTCCTTTGGCCTAATTAGCAGTTCAAGGGGCGATGGAGCTGGCAAGGTTCGCTGCGAACTTGCGCAAATCTGTTCAAATCGGAGCGAATCGGTGCACATCGAATATGCGGACAGGCTGCCTTCTTCAGTGCGGGAATTGTGTCTGATCTTGGTTGCACAGGTTTGCACGATTCTGCGCAGGTTTGTGCAGGCTGGCATTGCGGGGGCTCAAGCGTGATCGCTGGCTTGCGCGGGCTTCAACGCATGCTTTTCGAGTTGCCTCTTTCAGATTAAGACTGCAGGACCTTCCAACGCAGGTCAAAATTGCAAAAAAATCGTCCACGCACCAACCGATTTTATGACATCTTGCCTTCCGCAGCTCTGACAACCCATTCTCACTTCTCCGATTCCATTATCGCATCTAACTGCGCCGCAGTCTCCAACTGTCTGTCAAGGTTCCGCAGCCTTGACAATGCATTCTCAATTTTCCGGCGCCATTCTTTCCGCAGCCCTGCCATTGCATTTCGCATCCTCAGGTTCCGTTTCCCAACGCAGGCTGATGCAACCACCTGCCACCAGAATTCGCCTGTACACGACCCGCACAAGTCCCACACCCGCCTATATTCATTGAGCAATCACCCAGTTGGGACAGACCATGGAGAGCAGAACATGTACTCGGGTGTTCCTATCCATTGCGGTGCTGCTTCACACACCTCACCCCTGACTGTTTTGTCGCGGGTGGAACTGATGGAGCTGTGGCAATTCCCTGTCTCAGACTCCAAAAGCTGAAAGCACAATCCAAACATGGTACATGCAGTCGCGTAAATTTTGAAAACACGTGAGGTAGTGTGACGCATGTACACCCGCTAGGGTTAGGTCAAAGAATAAAGGATTGCATCGGGTTGTGTAACCAACACATGTCACCTGAGCTGTGTCGAAAACCTATTGGAAATGGCCCCGCAGCCCCAGCATCCTTTCGCGACAGGCTATCGCGGCCCTTTCGCGACCACAGTTTTTCCTTTCGCGGGCATATACAATATTTTCTCTCAGTCCTTTCGCAGGACATCATCTATATAACACATCATATAACTTTACTTCCAGTGATCCCCACCATGACATTGTAGTGCCGACTGCGATCAGGCACTTGCAGGAGGGGAAGGAGGAGGAAAAGGAGGAGTCGAGGAAGAGCCTCCTTCTGAGAAGAGCTCTGATAAAATCCAACAACCCTCACCTCGTAGGTGGGGAACAATGTGTATACCTCTACAATATACATAAGTCTATATTGCCTCCTTCTGGCAAGTTTTTCTTTTCACCTGGCAAGTAGAAAATGCAAATCGATGGGCTACATCTTGAACATGGAACCGTGCCTTTTCTCCAGCCTTTCGCGAACCTTTCGCACGCCTTTCGCGGATTTCCGACCTTCGACTTCGAGAAATCCGTGGTCAAAACACGGTTTCTCATGGTTTCTCGGTTTCTATTTATTGTGAGAACTCCTTGACTGCTATCTGACTTGCCCACCATGGGTGCTGGTGCAATACAGAAAAAACCGTTCAGTTTGAGGGTCCTTGTATATATTCACACAACGCTCTCATGGTGGCAATGGCGAAGTTGCGTCAAAACAGCACAAAAAACAGCTAGCACTGGAAACAAATCTTACATATCATCCAAAACGTTCTTTCGCATACTCCTTTCGCAACCATTTTTGCATGGTGTCTTTCGCAACAGTTGTCTCGAAGTTTTCGCGACTTAGGTTTTGCCTTTCGCGGGGGTTATGTCAGGACAACTGCATGACAAAAACTAATTAATCATGGAGATTTTTGACGTGGCTCACCTCAGGTTCAAACGAGCAAAATATAAAAAACAAGGCACGCCGCCCGCAACTAACCCGCGCAAAACGCGCGCGTGTACAAAACTTGTCCCGTTTGATCCCGTTTACGATGGGATTGCAAGATGAAAATGAGCCCTCATTACAAATCAGACGGGGGTTCTTTCAACGTAAGGTGCTAGCCGCGAGTTTCGGGTTGTTTTGCATCAGCGAACGGGGTTTTCTGCGACGGTGAATTGTTGGGAGAGTTTTTAGCAACGGTGCCCAGGTTTTTGCAACGGTTCGGCATGGGTTTTTGCAATGGCAAACCACGCTCGGTGGTTTCCTGTGATGGCAAGCACGTTCTTTTTGCGTCGGTAAAAGGTTGTTTGCAACGGCGAAGGGGGAGAAGAAAGACCTCGAGTGAGTACGACTATATAACACGAGTGACAGGCGCAAATAACACGAGTGAGTACGACTATATAGTCAACATATAGGACCTCGACCACGAGCAGGACGACTACCAGCGCAAATGCGACTACCGCCACAACCACGACCACTACCACTATACTAATACTATGCTAGTATACAGTTGCTGTTGCCGCGTCCTCCTGCTACTGCTACTACCGCTACTACTACTACTACTACTACTACTACTACTACTACTACTACTACT